TCTGTGTCTCTCCTTGTGTCTCTCTGTCTCACCCTGTCTCTCTGTGTCTCTCTCTCTGTCTCTCTGTCTGTCTCCCTGTCTCTCTCTCTCTCTGTCTCTCTGTGTGTCTCTCCATCTCACCCTATCTCTCCGTCTCTGTGTCTCTCCTTGTGTCTGTCTGTCTCACCCTGTCTCTCTGTGTCTCTCTCTCTGTCTCTCTGTCTGTCTCCCTCTCTCTCTCTCTCTCTGTCTCTCTGTGTGTCTCTCCATCTCACCCTATCTCTCCGTCTCTGTGTCTCTCCTTGTGTCTCTCTGTCTCACCCTGTCTCTCTGTGTCTCTCTCTCTCTGTCTCTCTGTCTGTCTTTCTGTCTCTCTCTCTATGTCTCTCTGTGTGTCTCTCCATCTCACCCTATCTCTCCGTCTCTGTGTCTCTCCTTGTGTCTCTCTATCTCACCCTGTCTCTCTCTGTCTCTCTGTCTGTCTCCCTGTCTCTCTCTCTCTGTCTCTCAGTCTGTCTCTCCATCTCACCCTATCTCTCCGTCTCTGTGTCTCTCCTTGTGTCTCTCCCTGTCTCACCCTGTCTCTCTCTGTGTCTCTCTCTCTGTCTCTCTGTCTGTCTCCCTGTCTCTCTCTCTCTGTCTCTCTGAGTGTCTCTCCATCTCACCCTATCTCTATGTCTCTGTGTCTCTCCTGTCTCTCTGTCTCTCTTTCTCTGTGTCTGTCTCTCTCTCTGTCTCTGTGTCTCTGTCTTTCTGTCTCTCTGTGTCTCTGTCTGACTCTCTCTCTGTCTATCTCCCTGTCTCTCTCTTTGTCTGTCTCTGTCTCTCTCTGTCTATCTGTCTCTCCGTCTCTCTGTCTCTCTGTCTCTCTCTCTCTCTGTCTCTCTGTGTGTCTCTCCATCTCAACCGATCTCTATGTCTCTGTGTCTCTCCTTCTGTCTCTCTGTCTCACCCTGTCTCACCCTGTCTCTCTCTCTCTGTCTCTCTGTGTGTCTCTCCATCTCAACCGATCTCTATGTCTCTGTGTCTCTCCTTCTGTCTCTCTGTCTCTCTGTCTCTCTTTCTCTGTGTCTGTCTCTCTCTGTCTCCACCTCTGTGTCTCTGTCTTTCTGTCTCTCTGTGTCTCTCTGTCTGACTCTCTGTCTGTCTCCCTGTCTCTCTCTCTCTGTCTCTCTGTCTGTCTTTCTGTCTCTCTCTATGTCTCTCTGTCTGTCTCTCCATCTCACCCTATCTCTACGTCTCTGTGTCTCTCCTTGTGTCTCTCTGTCTCACCCTGTCTCTCTCTCTGTGTCTCTCTCTCTCTGTCTGTCTCCTTGTCTCTCTCTCTCTGTCTCTCTGTGTGTCTCTCCATCTCACCCTATCTCTACGTCTCTGTGTCTCTCCTTGTGTCTCTCCCTGTCTCACCCTGTCTCTCTCTGTGTCTCTCTCTGTCTCTCTGTCTGTCTCTCTCACTGTCTCTCTCACCGTCTCTCTCTGTCTGTCTGTCTCTCTCTCTCTGTCTCTCTCTCCCTCTCTCTCTCTGTCTATCTCCCTGTCTCTCTCTCTGTCTCTCTGTCTGTCTCTCTCACTGTCTCTCTCACCGTCTCTCTCTGTCTGTCTCTCTCTCCCTGTCTCTCTGTCTATCTCCCTGTCTCTCTCTGTCTGTCTCTCTCCATCTCTCTGTCTCCCTGTCTCTCTCTCTGTCTCTCTGTGTGTCTCTCCATCACACCCTATCTCTACGTCTCTGTGTCTCTCCTTGTGTCTCTCCCTGTCTCACCCTGTCTCTCTCTGTGTCTCTCTCTGTCTCTCTGTCTGTCTTTCTGTCTCTCTCTCTCTGTCTCTCTGTGTGTCTCTCCATCTCACCCTATCTCTCCGTCTCTGTGTCTCTCCTTGTGTCTCTCTGTCTCACCCTGTCTCTCTCTGTGTCTCTCTCTGTCTCTCTGTCTGTCTTTCTGTCTCTCTCTCTGTCTCTCTGTGTGTCTCTCCATCTCACCCTATCTCTATGTCTCTGTGTCTCTCCTGTCTCTCTGTCTCTCTTTCTCTGTGTCTGTCTCTCTCTCTCTCTCTGTCTCTCTGTGTGTCTCTCCATCTCACCCTATCTCTCTGTCTCTGTGTCTCACCTTGTGTCTCTCCCTGTCTCACCCTGTCTCTCTCTCTGTGTCTCTCTCTCTGTCTCTCTGTCTGTCTCCCTGTCTCTCTCTCTCTGTGTCTCTGTGTGTCTCTCCATCTCACCCTATCTCTCCGTCTCTGTGTCTCTCCTTGTGTCTGTCTGTCTCACCCTGTCTCTCTGTGTCTCTCTCTCTGTCTCTCTGTCTGTCTCCCTCTCTCTCTCTCTCTCTGTCTCTCTGTGTGTCTCTCCATCTCACCCTATCTCTCCGTCTCTGTGTCTCTCCTTGTGTCTCTCTGTCTCACCCTGTCTCTCTGTGTCTCTCTCTCTCTGTCTCTCTGTCTGTCTTTCTGTCTCTCTCTCTATGTCTCTCTGTGTGTCTCTCCATCTCACCCTATCTCTACGTCTCTGTGTCTCTCCTTGTGTCTCTCTATCTCACCCTGTCTCTCTCTGTCTCTCTGTCTGTCTCCCTGTCTCTCTCTCTCTGTCTCTCTGTGTGTCTCTCCATCTCACCCTATCTCTCCGTCTCTGTGTCTCTCCTTGTGTCTCTCCCTGTCTCACCCTGTCTCTCTCTGTGTCTCTCTCTCTGTCTCTCTGTCTGTCTCCCTGTCTCTCTCTCTCTGTCTCTGTCTCTCTGTGTGTCTCTCCATCTCACCCTATCTCTATGTCTCTGTGTCTCTCCTGTCTCTCTGTCTCTCTTTCTCTGTGTCTGTCTCTCTCTCTGTCTCTGTGTCTCTGTCTTTCTGTCTCTCTGTGTCTCTGTCTGACTCTCTCTCTGTCTATCTCCCTGTCTCTCTCTTTGTCTGTCTCTGTCTCTCTCTGTCTATCTGTCTCTCCGTCTCTCTGTCTCTCTGTCTCTCTCTCTCTCTGTCTCTCTGTGTGTCTCTCCATCTCAACCGATCTCTATGTCTCTGTGTCTCTCCTTCTGTCTCTCTGTCTCACCCTGTCTCACCCTGTCTCTCTCTCTCTGTCTCTCTGTGTGTCTCTCCATCTCAACCGATCTCTATGTCTCTGTGTCTCTCCTTCTGTCTCTCTGTCTCTCTGTCTCTCTTTCTCTGTGTCTGTCTCTCTCTGTCTCCACCTCTGTGTCTCTGTCTTTCTGTCTCTCTGTGTCTCTCTGTCTGACTCTCTGTCTGTCTCCCTGTCTCTCTCTCTCTGTCTCTCTGTCTGTCTTTCTGTCTCTCTCTATGTCTCTCTGTCTGTCTCTCCATCTCACCCTATCTCTACGTCTCTGTGTCTCTCCTTGTGTCTCTCTGTCTCACCCTGTCTCTCTCTCTGTGTGTCTCTCTCTCTGTCTGTCTCCTTGTCTCTCTCTCTCTGTCTCTCTGTGTGTCTCTCCATCTCACCCTATCTCTACGTCTCTGTGTCTCTCCTTGTGTCTCTCCCTGTCTCACCCTGTCTCTCTCTGTGTCTCTCTCTGTCTCTCTGTCTGTCTCTCTCACTGTCTCTCTCACCGTCCTCTCTCTGTCTGTCTGTCTCTCTCTCTCTGTCTCTCTCTCCCTCTCTCTCTCTGTCTATCTCCCTGTCTCTCTCTCTGTCTCTCTGTCTGTCTCTCTCACTGTCTCTCTCACCGTCTCTCTCTGTCTGTCTCTCTCTCCCTGTCTCTCTGTCTATCTCCCTGTCTCTCTCTGTCTGTCTCTCTCCATCTCTCTGTCTCCCTGTCTCTCTCTCTGTCTCTCTGTGTGTCTCTCCATCACACCCTATCTCTACGTCTCTGTGTCTCTCCTTGTGTCTCTCCCTGTCTCACCCTGTCTCTCTCTGTGTCTCTCTCTGTCTCTCTGTCTGTCTTTCTGTCTCTCTCTGTCTCTCTGTCTGTCTTTCTGTCTCTCTCTCTCTGTCTCTCTGTGTGTCTCTCCATCTCACCCTATCTCTCCGTCTCTGTGTCTCTCCTTGTGTCTCTCTGTCTCACCCTGTCTCTCTCTGTGTCTCTCTCTGTCTCTCTGTCTGTCTTTCTGTCTCTCTCTCTGTCTCTCTGTGTGTCTCTCCATCTCACCCTATCTCTATGTCTCTGTGTCTCTCCTGTCTCTCTGTCTCTCTTTCTCTGTGTCTGTCTCTCTCTCTCTCTCTGTCTCTCTGTGTGTCTCTCCATCTCACCCTATCTCTCTGTCTCTGTGTCTCACCTTGTGTCTCTCCCTGTCTCACCCTGTCTCTCTCTCTGTGTCTCTCTCTCTGTCTCTCTGTCTGTCTCCCTGTCTCTCTCTCTCTGTGTCTCTGTGTGTCTCTCCATCTCACCCTATCTCTCCGTCTCTGTGTCTCACCTTGTGTCTCTCCCTGTCTCACCCTGTCTCTCTCTGTGTCTCTCTCTGTCTCTCTGTCTGTCTCTCTCACTGTCTCTCTCTCTGTCTCTCTGTCTGTCTCTCTCTCTGTCTCTCTGTCTGTCTCTCTCTCTGTCTCTCTGTCTGTCTCTCTCACTGTCTCTCTCACCGTCTCTCTCTGTCTGTCTGTCTCTCTCTCTCTGTCTCTCTCTCCCTCTCTCTCTCTGTCTATCTCCCTGTCTCTCTCTCTGTCTCTCTGTCTGTCTCTCTCACTGTCTCTCTCACCGTCTCTCTCTGTCTGTCTCTCTCTCCCTGTCTCTCTCTCTGTCTATCTCCCTGTCTCTCTCTCTCTGTCTATCTCCCTGTCTCTCTCTGTCTGTCTCTCTCCATCTCTCTGTCTTTCTGTTTCTCTCTCTGTCTCTCTGTGTGTCTCTCCATCTCACCCTATCTCTCCGTCTCTGTGTCTCTCCCTGTCTCACCCTGTCTCACCCTGTCTCTCTCTGTGTCTCTCTCTCTGTCTCTCTCTCTCTTTCTCTGTCTCTCTGTGTGTCTATCCATCTCACCCTATCTCTCCGTCTCTGTGTCTCTCCTTGTGTCTCACCCTGTCTCTCTCTCTGTGTCTCTCTCTCTCTCTCTGTCTCTCTCTGTCTCTCTCTCTGTCTGTGTCTCTCTGTCTCCAGGGGAGAAGCCGTACGAGTGCCCGGTGTGCCGGGCGCGGTTCACCCAGAAGAGCTCCATGAAATCCCACGTGCAGCAGAAGCACACGGAGGAGGGGGCCACTCCACGCTTCTCTTGCCCGCACTGCGACGCTGTCACAGCACGCAAGAGTGACCTGGGTAAGAGGTGGGGGGGGTGGGTGGGTGGGTGGGGGGGTGGGGGGGTGGGTGGGGGGGGGGGCTAGTGGGAGCCAGGGGGGGAGGGGGAGATGGTGGTGGGGTGATGGAGAGGCTCATCACTGATGGAGCCACTCAGTGGCTCAACCTCGCCCATCCATCAACGGCAGCCACTCGCCCAAACCAACTCGCTCACCCGCCCAAGCACCCACTGACCCAGCCAGTCACTCATCCACCCACTCACTCATCCCACCCACTCACTCATCCACCCACTCACTCATCCACCCACTCACCCATCCACCCACTCACTCATCCACCCACTCACTCATCCACCCACTCACTCATCCACCCACTCACTCATCCACCCACTCACCCATCCACCCACTCACTCATCCACCCACTCACTCATCTATCCACTCACCAACCCACCCAACCCACCCACCAACTCACTTACTCATCCACCCACTCACTCAACCACTCACACCCACTCACCCACTCACCCAACCACCCACTCACCCACCAAATAACCCACCCAATCACCCACCCAGCCATTCTCCCACCCACCCACTTACACACTCACTCACGAACCCATTCACTTAGCCACTCACTCACTCAACCACTCACTCACCAACTCACGCACCAACCTACCCACCCACTCACCCACTCACCCACCCACTCACCCACTCACCTACCCACTCACTCACCCACGCACTCACTCACCCACTCACTCACTCACCCACCCACTCACTCACCCACTCACTCACTCACTCACCCACCCACCCACCCACTCACCCACCCACTCACCCACCCACTCACTCACTCACTCACCCACTCACCCACCCACTCACCCACCAACTCACTCACCCACGCACTCACTCATCCACTCACTCAACCACTCACTCACCAACTCACCCACCCACCCACTCACCTACCCACCCACTCACCCACTCACTCACTCACCCACCCACCCACTCACCCACTCACCCACCTACCCACCCACCCACCCACCCACTCACCCACCCACCTACCCACCCACCTACCCACCCACCCACCCGCTCACCCACCCACCCACCTACCCACCCACTCACCCACCCACCCACTCACCCACCCACCTACCCACCCACCCACCCAACCACCTACCCATCCACTCACCCACTCACCCACTCACCCACCCACTCACCCACCCACTCACTCACCCACGCACTCACTCACCCACTCACTCACCCACTCACCCACCCACTCACTCACTCACCCACTCACCCACTCACTCACCCACCCACCTACCCACCCACCTACCCACCCACTCACCCATCCACTCACTCAACCACCCACTCACCAACTCACCCACCCACCCACCCACCCACCTACCCACCCACACACCCACCCACCCACTCACCCACTCACCCACTCACTCACCCACCCACCCACTCACTCACCCACCCACTCACTCACCCACTCACTCACTCACCCACTCACTCACCCACTCACCTACCCACCCACTCACCCACTCACTCAATCACCCACTCACCCACTCACCCAAACACCTACCCACCCACCTACCCACCCACTCACTCAACCACCCACTCACCAACTCACCCACTCACTCACCAACTCACCCACCTACCCACCTACCCACCCACTCACCCACCAACTCACCTACCCACCCACTCACTCAACCACCCACTCACCAACTCACCCACTCACTCACCCACTCACCCACTCACTCACCCACTCACCCACCCACCCACCTACCCACCCACCCACTCACCCACCCACTCACCCACCTACCCACCCACTCACCCATCCACTCACTCAACCACCCACTCACCAACTCACCCACCTACCCACCCACCCACCTACCCACCCACACACCCACCCACCCACTCACCCACTCACCCACTCACTCACCCACCCACCCACTCACTCACACACCCACTCACTCACCCACCCACTCACTCACCCACTCACTCACTCACCCACTCACTCACCCACTCACCTACCCACCCACTCACCCACTCACTCAATCACCCACTCACCCACTCACCCACACACCTACCCCCCCACCTACCCACCCACACACACAACCACCCACTCACCAACTCACCCACTCACTCACCAACTCACCCACCTACCCACCTACCCACCCACTCACCCACCAACTCACCTACCCACCCACTCACTCAACCACCCACTCACCCACTCACCCACTCACTCACCCACTCACCCACTCACTCACCCACTCACCCACCCACTCACCCACCCACCCACCTACCCACCCACCCACTCACCCACCCACTCACCCACCTACCCACCCACCCACCCGCTCACCCACCCACCCACCCACCTACCCACCCACTCACCCACCCACCCACTCACCCACCCACCTACCCACCCACCCAACCACCTACCCATCCACTCACCCACTCACCCACTCACCCACCCACTCACCCACCCACTCACTCACCCACGCACTCACTCACCCACTCACTCACCCACCCACTCACCCACCCACTCACTCACTCACCCACTCACCCACTCACTCACCCACCCACCTACCCACCCACCTACCCACCCACTCACCCATCCACTCACTCAACCACCCACTCACCAACTCACCCACCTACCCACCCACCCACCTACCCACCCACACACCCACCCACCCACTCACCCACTCACCCACTCACTCACCCACCCACCCACTCACTCACCCACCCACTCACTCACTCACCCACTCACTCACCCACTCACCTACCCACCCACTCACCCACTCACTCAATCACCCACTCACCCACTCACCCACACACCAACCCACCCACCAACCCACCCACTCACTCAACCACCCACTCACCAACTCACCCACTCACTCACCAACTCACCCACCTACCCACCTACCCACCCACTCACCCACCAACTCACCTACCCACCCACTCACTCAACCACCCACTCACCAACTCACCCACTCACTCACCCACTCACCCACTCACTCACCCACTCACCCACCCACCCACCTACCCACCCACCCACTCACCCACCCACTCACCCACCTACCCACCCACTCACCCATCCACTCACTCACCCACCCACTCACCAACTCACCCACCTACCCACCCACCCACCTACCCACCCACACACCCACCCACCCACTCACCCACTCACCCACTCACTCACCCACCCACCCACTCACTCACCCACCCACTCACTCACCCACTCACTCACTCACCCACTCACCCACTCACCTACCCACCCACTCACCCACTCACTCAATCACCCACTCACCCATTCACCCACACACCTACCCACCCACCTACCCACCCACTCACTCAACCACCCACTCACCAACTCACCCACTCACTCACCCACTCACCCACTCACTCACCCACTCACCCACCCACCCACCTACCCACCCACCCACTCACCCACCCACTCACCCACCTACCCACCCACCCACCCACCAACTCACTCGGAGTTTCCTGTTGGCTCAGCTCTTCCTTTGTGTGCCCGCCCCCACCCCCCCCCTCTCTCACCCCCATGCCCCCCCCCCCCTCTCTCACCCCCATGCCCCCCCCCCCGCCCCCCCACCCCCAGGCGTGCATCTGCGCAAGCAACATGCGCTGGTGCGTCGTGGACTGCGCTGCCGCTACTGCACGGCCACCTTCCACGAGCACTTTGCCCTGATGCAGCACCAGCGCTGCCACCACCACGAGAAGCACTTCAAGTGCGACCGCTGCCAGTACGCCTGTACACAGGTACACACATACACATACACATACAGGTACACACATACACATACATACACACACATACAGGTACACACAGAGACACACACACAGGTACATACACATACACACACACACACACAGGTACATACACACACACAGGTACATACACACACACATACACACATACACATACAGGTACATACACACATACACACATACACATACACATACAGGTACATACACACACACAGGTACACATACACACACATACACCTACACACACATACAGGTACACACACACAGGTACACACTTTGCCCTGATGCAGCACCAGCGCTGCCACCACCACGAGAAGCACTTCAAGTGCGACCGCTGCCAGTACGCCTGTACACAGGTACACACACACATACATACAGGTACACACATACACATACACACATACATACACACACATACAGGTACACACACACACAGAGACACACACACAGGTACATACACATACACACACACATACACAGGTACATACACACACACAGGTACATACACACACAGGTACACACACACAGGTACATACACACACACAGGTACATACACACACACATACATACACACACACACAGGTACATACACACAGGTACACACACACACATACACACACACAGGTACACACTTTGCCCTGATGCAGCACCAGCGCTGCCACCACCACGAGAAGCACTTCAAGTGCGACCGCTGCCAGTACGCCTGTACACAGGTACACACATACACATACACAAGTACACACACACACATACACAGGTACATACAGGTACACACATACACACAGATATACAGGTACACACATACACAGGTACACACAGGTACACACATACACATACACACACATACACACACATACACAGGTACACACATATATACACATACACAGAGACATACATACACACACATACACACAGGTACACACACACACAGGTACACACACACATACACACAGGTACATACACACACATACACATACACACAGGTATACACATACACATACAGATACACATACACACACATACACATACACACAGGTATACACATACACATACAGATACACATACACACACAGGTACATACACACACACACAGGTACACACATACACACACACATACACAGGTACACATACATACACACACATACACACACACATACACACAAACACACACACATACACATACATACACACAGGTACACACACACAGGTACATACTCACAGGTACACACACACACAGGTACACACTTTGCCCTGATGCAGCACCAGCGCTGCCACCACCACGAGAAGCACTTCAAGTGCGACCGCTGCCAGTACGCCTGTACACAGGTACACACACACACATACACATACATACACCCATACACATACAGGTACATACACATACACACATACACATACACACACATACACATACATACACATACACACAGGTACACACACATACATATACACACACAGGTACACACACACAGATACACACATACATACACACACATACACACACATACATACACACACACATACATACACACACACACACAGGTACATACACACATACATACACACACAGGTACATACACACACACATACACACACATACACACAGGTACACACACACAGATACATACACACATACACACATACACACACAGGTACACACACACACATACACACACATACACACAGGTACATACACACAGACAGGTTCACACTTTGCCCTGATGCAGCACCAGCGCTGCCACCACCACGAGAAGCACTTCAAGTGCGACCGCTGCCAGTACGCCTGTACACAGGTACACACACACACATACACATACAGGTACATACACACATACACATACAGGTACATACACACATACACATACAGGTACATACACACATACACATACATACACACACAGGTACACACACACACACATACACACAGGTACACACACACATACACACACACACAGGTACACAAATACAGATACATACATACATACAGGTACACACACACACAGGTACACACACATACACACACATACACACACATACACACAGGTACATAAACACACAGGTACACACATACACACACACAGGTACACACATACACACACATACACACAGGTACACACACACACACACAGGTACATACACATACACACATACACACACAGATACACATACACACACACACATACACACACACAGATACACACATACATACACACATACACACACATACACACACATACACACATACATACATACATACACACACAGGTACACAGGTACACACACACATAACAACAACAACAACCGCCATTCGCCACTAAGTGGCGGTGACGTTACCACGACGCTTGTGCCAGGCTATGTGCACCCTGAGGCCACGTGAAGTGTCGAACGCCCGCTGGCAGGAGGTCACGGGGCAGACCCAGGTGCCACGGGTCGACTGACTGAGATGACTGGCTGATGCACCACCTGTGCCCCCTACTGTGCCAACCTGCTGTGCTTTAGCCACCCGGCGCTCCGCTCGTTGTTGTGAGCGTCGCCCCTCCGCCCTCCGTTGTTGTTGGAGGGCGACTGCCTCCAACTGCCCAGTAGCGTCCTTCACGAGCCTCCTCCACAGAGGCCGATCTTGACACCGCTGGTACCAGTCATCGGCAAGTCCACTCAGCTCCACGTTCTCCTGTACCACATCACTCCATCTCTTCTCTAGCCCGTGCCGCGCCCGCTTAGCCCCCTCAATCCGGCCGAACAAAAGCTGTTTCGGCATGCGGTGGCTGGGCATGCGGGCTACATGACCCAGCCATCGCAGCCTTCCCCGCCGGAGGAGCTCACCGATGGGACCCCACCCAGATCTTTCAAGGATTTGTGAGCTCCTCACACAATCCAGCCTGGTTAAACCCAGGATGGATCGTAGGCAGGCCAGCCTAAATGTTTCTAACCGGCGAAGATGTTCCATTAGGGGGGTCCACGTACATACACACAGGTACATACACACAGGTACAGACACACAGGTACACACACACAGGTACACACATGCAGATATGCAAAGACAAATACATACATACATTAGCAGGTACAAGCATGCACTCATACATACAGACAGACAAATGCATACGCACACAACAATGAAATAGACAAAGATTCCCTGTATAGCCTGAACAGACTTTTGGGTCAAGTGCTGTTCGCGAGCACCTATGAAGGCCGACACGGCACACGAGGGGGTGGGTGGCCAGCACCACGCCCGACCGCCTTTGTCTCCCTAGTGGCAATGTTTACACACCGCACCAGGTACTCATTTCAGGCTGAGTCAACTTAGGGGAGGCCCGGGACCGGTTCAAATAATCGTCACCGGCATTGGCCGCGAGTTGGGAATCGAACTCGGGTCGCCGGGTTCGTAGCGCAGCGCGCTGATCCCTACACTACCGCTCCCCACACAGGTACACACACAAGACACGCGCTACAGGTATAGCCACACTCTACAGGTACATACACACAGGTGCGTACGCACAGATACGTACTGTACACGCTACTGGTAGCATATGCTACTTGCTTCCCAACAGCCTTTGTCGGCCACATTGGGGGAACTTTTTTTTTTCCCGCGTTTGACCTTTGCGTGCATGCGTGCGTGCATGCGTGTGTTTTATTATTTTCAATATGTGCCTCTCTGCGTCGGCCAGGAGCGACACATGATAGCTCACAAGCGATCTCACACGGCCGGGAAGCCGTTCGACTCGGCCCAACTCCCCATCGACGATGAGGAGGCAAGGCGGGAGGAGGAGGAGGAGGAAGAGGCGGTGGTGAAGGTGAAAGTCGAGGAAGAAGAGCAGAGTCAGGAGGAGGTGGAAGATTCCAAACCACCCTCTGCTAAGCGACGTCCCGCCCCGCCATCCAAAGCCAGACGAGGCCGACCGGCAAAGTCCAAAGAATAACCGGGCGAGACCTTGGGTGGGTGAGTTAGTGAGGTGGGGGTAGGTGGGTGAGCTCGTGAGTGGGTGGGTTAGCTTGTGAGTGAGTTAGTGGGTGACTACTGGTTCAGTGGGTGGGTTAATGAGCGGATGGGTGAGTAAGTGAGTTAGTTAGTTAGTTAGTGGGTGACTACTGGTTCAGTGGGTGGGTTAATGAGCGGATGGGTGAGTGAGTTAGTTAGTGGGTGACGACTGGTTCAGTAGGTCGGTTAATGAGCAGGTGGGTGAGTGAGTTAGTGGGTGACTACTGGGTCAGGCGGTGGGTTAATGAGCGGATGGGTGAGTGAGTGAGTTAGTTAGTGGGTGACTACTGGTTCAGTAGGTCGGTTAATGAGCAGGTGGGTGAGTGAGTTAGTGGGTGACTACTGGGTCAGTGGCTGGGTTAATGAGCGGATGGGTGAGTGAGTGAGTTAGTTAGTTAGTGGGTGGCTACTGGTTCAGTAGGTCGGTTAATGAGCAGGTGGGTGAGTGAGTTAGTGGGTGACTACTGGGTCAGGGGGTGGGTTAATGAGCGGATGGGTGAGTGAGTGAGTTAGTTAGTGGGTGACTACTGGTTCAGTGGGTGGGTTAATGAGCGGATGGGTGAGTGAGTGAGTTAGTTAGTGGGTGACTACTTGTTCAGTAGGTCGGTTAATGAGCAGGTGGGTAAGTGAGTTAGTGGGTGACTACTGGGTCAGTGGGTGGGTTAATGAGCGGATGAGTGAGTGAGTTAGTTAGTGGGTGACTACTGGTTCAGTAGGTCGGTTAATGAGCAGGTGGGTGAGTGAGTTAGTGGGTGACTACTGGTTCAGTAGGTCGGTTAATGAGCAGGTGGGTGAGTGAGTTAGTGGGTGACTACTGGGTCAGGGGGTGGGTTAATGAGCGGATGGGTGAGTGAGTGAGTTAGTGGGTGACTACTGGTTCAGTAGGTCGGTTAATGAGCAGGTGGGTGAGTGAGTTATTGGGTGACTACTGGGTCAGTGGGTGGGTTAATGAGTGAATGGGTGAGCTCGTGAGTGAGTTAGTGGGTGACTACTGGTTCAGTGGGTGGGTTAATGAGCGGATGGGTGAGTGAGTGAGTTAGTTAGTGGGTGAGTACTGGTTCAGTAGGTCGGTTAATGAGCAGGTGGGTGAGTGAGTTAGTGGGTGACTACTGGGTCAGTGGGTGGGTTAATGAGCGGATGGGTGAGTGAGTTAGTGGGTGACTACTGGTTCAGTAGGTCGGTTAATGAGCAGGTGGGTGAGTGAGTTAGTGGGTGACTACTGGGTCAGTGGGTGGGTTAATGAGCGGATGGGTGAGTGAGTGAGTGAGTTAGTGGGTGACTACTGGTTCAGTAGGTCGGTTAATGAGCAGGTGGGTGAGTGAGTTAGTGGGTGACTACTTTGTCAGGGGGTGGGTTAATGAGCGGATGGGTGAGTGAGTGAGTTAGTTAGTGGGTGACTACTGGTTCAGTAGGTCGGTTAATGAGCAGGTGGGTGAGTGAGTTAGTGGGTGACTACTGGGTCAGGGGGTGGGTTAATGAGCGGATGGGTGAGTGAGTGAGTTAGTTAGTGGGTGACTACTGGTTCAGTGGGTCGGTTAATTAGCAGGTGGGTGGGTGAGTTAGTGGGTGACTACTGGGTCAGGGGGTGGGTTAATGAGCGGATGGGTGAGTGAGTTAGTTAGTGGGTGACTACTGGTTCAGTAGGTCGGTTAATGAGCAGGTGGGTGAGTGAGTTAGTGGGTGACTACTGGGTCAGTGGCTGGGTTAATGAGCGGATGGGTGAGTGAGTGAGTTAGTTAGTGGGTGACTACTGGTTCAGTAGGTCGGTTAGTGAGCAGGTGGGTGAGTGAGTTAGTGGGTGACTACTGGGTCAGTGGCTGGGTTAATGAGCAGATGGGTGAGTGAGTGAGTTAGTTAGTGGGTGACGACTGGTTCAGTAGGTCGGTTAATGAGCAGGTGGGTGAGTGAGTTAGTGGGTTACTACTGGATCAGTGGGTCGGTTAATGAGCAGGTGGGTGAGTGAGTTAGTGGGTGACTACTGGGTCGGGGGGTGGGTTAATGAGCGGATGGGTGAGTGAGTTAGTGGGTTACTACTGGGACAGGGGGTGGGTTAATGAGCGGATGGGGGAGTGATTGAGTTAGTTAGTGGGTGACTACTGGTTCAGTAGGTCGGTTAATGAGCAGGTGGGTGAGTGAGTTAGTGGGTGACTACTGGGTCAGGGGGTGGGTTAATGAGCGGATGGGTGAGTGAGTGAGTTAGTTAGTGGGTGACTACTGGTTCAGTCGGTCGGTTAATGAGCAGGTGGGTGAGTGAGTTAGTGGGTGACTACTGGGTCAGGGGGTGGGTTAATGAGCGGATGGGTGAGTGAGTAAGTTAGTTAGTGGGTGACTACTGGTTCAGTAGGTCGGTTAATGAGCAGGTGGGTGAGTGAGTTAGTGGGTGACTACTGGGTCAGTGGCTGGGTTAATGAGCGGATGGGTGAGTGAGTGAGTTAGTTAGTGGGTGGCTACTGGTTCAGTAGGTCGGTTAATGAGCAGGTGGGTGAGTGAGTTAGTGGGTGACTACTGGGTCAGGGGGTGGGTTAATGAGCGGATGGGTGAGTGAGTGAGTTAGTTAGTGGGTGACTACTGGTTCAGTGGGTGGGTTAATGAGCGGATGGGTGAGTGAGTGAGTTAGTTAGTGGGTGACTACTTGTTCAGTAGGTCGGTTAATGAGCAGGTGGGTGAGTGAGTTAGTGGGTGACTACTGGGTCAGTGGGTGGGTTAATGAGCGGATGGGTGAGTGAGTTAGTGGGTGACTACTGGTTCAGTAGGTCGGTTAATGAGCAGGTGGTGAGTGAGTTAGTGGGTGACTACTGGTTCAGTAGGTCGGTTAATGAGCAGGTGGGTGAGTGAGTTAGTGGGTGACTACTGGGTCAGGGGGTGGGTTAATGAGCGGATGGGTGAGTGAGTGAGTTAGTGGGTGACTACTGGTTCAGTGGGTGGGTTAATGAGCAGGTGAGTGAGTGAGTTAGTGGGTGACTACTGGTTCAGTGGGTCGGTTAATGAGCGGATGGGTGGTGTGAGTGAGTTAGTTAGTGGGTGACTACTGGTTCAGTAGGTCGGTTAATGAGCATGTGGGTGAGTGAGTTAGTGGGTGACTACTGGGTCAGTGGGTGGGTTAATGAGCGGATGGGTGAGTGAGTAAGTTAGTTAGAGGGTGACTACTGGTTCAGTGGGTGGGTTAATGAGCAGGTGGGTGAGTGAGTTAGTGGGTGGCTACTGGTTCAGTGGGTGGGTTAATGAGCAGGTGGGTGAGTGAGTTAGTGGGTGACTACTGGTTCAGTGGGTCGGTTAATGAGCGGATGGGTGGTGTGATTGAGTTAGTTAGTGGGTGACTACTGGTTCAGTGGGTCGGTTAATGAGCGGATGGGTGGTGTGAGTGAGTTAGTTAGTGGGTGACTACTGGTTCAGTGGGTCGGTTAATGAGCAGGTGGGTGAGTGAGTTGGTGGGTGACTACTGGGTCAGGGGGTGGGTTAATGAGCGGATGGGTGAGTGAGTGAGTTAGTGGGTGGCTACTGGTTCAGTAGGTCGGTTAATGAGCAGGTGGGAGAGTGAGTTAGTTAGTGGGTGACTACTGGTTCAGTGGGTCGGTTAATGAGCGGATGGGTGAGTGAGTGAGTTAGTTAGAGGGTGACTACTGGTTCAGTAGGTCGGTTAATGAGCAGGTGGGTGAGTGAGTTAGTGGGTGACTACTGGTTCAGTGGGTCGGTTAATGAGCGGATGGGTGGTGTGAGTGAGTTAGTTAGTGGGTGACTACTGGTTCAGTGGGTCGGTTAATGAGCAGGTGGGTGAGTGAGTTGGTGGGTGACTACTGGTTCAGTGGGTGGGTTAATGAGCGGGTTTGGGGTGCGCTGGATTCACGAATCCCCATCCACCTTCTGGTGACCGTGTTCCGCTGTCAACGAACCCTTCGTTGGCACCAGCAGATCTGGAAGAACGCTGCCCCTGCGCGACCGGAGTGGAACGACGTGGACGTCCAGAATGAACTAAACCGAAAAGTACTCGGATCTTTTTATTTTTACTTTACCAGGCATAAGGCCACGCCGAGCTACTTCGTAGTAGCTCTTTTTCTTTTTTTAGATGTGACCTGGCTATCGCAAATGATAGCAGCTCAACACAAGTGGCTGTTTATCATCATCATCATCGTCGTCGTCGTTGTCATAATAATCATCATCGCGTGGAAATTTTCTAGCAGCAGCCAAATAACTCTGAACGCGTTGGAGACGTTGTCTCTGAAAAGTGGAGGGGGAAAGAAAAGAAAAACAAAAACGGTGGACCCACCCCCCCGGAGAAAAATCTACGCGACCACCTCGGAGGAGGGAGACACCGCCAACTCCAAATATACAGCAACAGGCGTCGGGGGGTAGGGGGGCGGCAGGTAGGGTAGGGACTGAAACCCACGGCCTCCTCCCGTGCACCAGGGCGAGGTAGTCGACATTTCCTAGCCCGCCGTCGCGCTGCCCTTCGGGACCCGGGGCATCGAGGGGGCAACCCCCTGGCTCCTGTCGACGTTCGACACCTCGCCGCCCCCGGCCGCGCAGCCCCCCTCCCCGAGCCTGTGGACCGTTGCCGTTCGCGCAGGCTCGCCCTCCGTGGGTTCGAGCTCCTTCGACAGGAGGAGGAGGAGGAGTAATAGCAAAGCTGCACAAACTCTCCTGAGGACGCTGAATCGGCACGGTTAGGGGGGGGGGCGACGTACGGTGCGTGAAAGGAGTTCAAGACGCTGCATACGCAGACCCACAGAGAGACCCACAGATTAGCGCGGTTGGGAGTATGTACGGTGCGTGAAAGGAGTTCAACACACTGTACACGCATACACAGAGACCCACAGATACCCAGACCCACAAGAGACCCACAGATTAGCGCGGTTGGGAGTATGTACGGTGTGAAAGGAGTTCAACACACTGTACACGCATACACAGGGACCCACAGATACCCAGACCCACAGAGACCCACAGATTACTACGGTTGGGGCCACGTACGGTGCGAAAGAATTTCGATGTACATACATCATAGCTAGCAGACCTCGACATTGCACTCAGTTTCCGAAAATATTGCTGGCATACGCAAGAATGGAATCCTG